ATGGGGGGTAATTCTAATTTTTTTCTTTTAATTCTTTGAGACATTTTTGTAAATAAAAAAGATTAAACTCAAAGGTCTATATAATTTTGGGCCTTAAACTCTTGTGTAAAAAATTAGAACAGTTTATTTTTTGGACGTCTAAAAAAAACTATACTTATTCTATATCCTATTTTTGTACGGTAATAAATATGTAGTGCAAAATATTCTCTTTCATCTAAAATGGGGGGTAATGCGTGAGGCTGGTTTCACAGAGCAGCGAAAACCCCCTCCTCTTAGCAGTGGAAGGATAACGGTCCATCGTCTTCTAGGCCCATCTAACCTCAAGGGCTACCCAATTGGGACCTTCACCTTTTGCTAATTTTTTTCTTTTAATTCTTTGAGACATTTTTCTAACTAAAAAAAAATTAAACTCAAAGGTTTATATAATTTTGAAGGAATTAAACTCTTGTGTAAGAAATTAGAACAGTTTATTTTTTGGACGTCTAAAAAAAAACTATACTTATTCTATATCCTATTTTGTACGGTAATAAATATCTAGTGCAAAATATTCTCTTTCATCTAAAATGGGGGGTAATTCTAATTTTTTTCTTTTAATTTTTTGAGACATTTTTGTAAATAAAAAAGATTAAACTCAAAGGTCTATATAATTTTGGGCCTTAAACTCTTGTGTAAAAAATTAGAACAGTTTATTTTTTGGACGTCTAAAAAAAACTATACTTATTCTATATCCTATTTTTGTACGGTAATAAATATGTAGTGCAAAATATTCTCTTTAATCTAAAATGGGGGGTAATGCGTGAGGCTGGTTTCACAGAGCAGCGAAAACCCCCTCCTCTCAGCAGTGGAAGGATAACGGTTCATCGTCTTCTAGGCCCATCTAACCTCAAGGGCTACCCAATTGGGTGACCTTCATCTTTTGCTAATTTTTTTCTTTTAATTGTTTGAGACATTTTTGTAAATAAAAAAAATTAAACTCGAAGGTCTATATAATTTTGAAGAAATTAAACTCTTGTGTAAAAAATTAGAACAGTTTTTTTTTTGGACGTCTAAAAAAAACTATACTTATTCTATATCCTATTTTTGTACGGTAATAAATATCTAGTGCAAAATATTCTCTTTCCTCAAGGGCTACCCAATTGGGACCTTCACCTTTTGCTAATTTTTTTTCTTTTAATTCTTTGAGACATTTTTGTAAATAAAAAAAATTAAACTCAAAGGTCTATATAATTTTGGGCCTTAAACTCTTGTGTAAAAAATTAGAACAGTTTATTTTTTGGACGTCTAAAAAAACTATACTTATTCTATATCTTATTTTTGTACGGTAATAAATATGTAGTGCAAAATATTCTCTTTTATCTAAATAAATTCTATCTGCTTAATTTTTATTATTTCAACAATTTTTACAAACTATATTAAAGTCACAATTTCTTATGGAACGGAGGGAGTATTTAACTTATTTGAATGCTCCCCTATATTGTGTTTTTATTTATATTACATTTTCAATTTCTAAATATTTTGTGAATGTAATATAACAAAAATGTAAATTTTAAATTTCAAATTGAAGACCATTTTCAAAATAAAAAGTTTTGTAAGGATGAGTTAACAAAAATTTAAATTTTGAATTTTGAGTTTTAGATTTTAAATTTTATATTTTAAATCTTTAAGACCCAAAGTCTATAAGACCCGTTTCATTGTTATGAGCCGAAAAAAATTCAATTGATTTCATTTTGACCCGTAGAATTCGAATTGTAGATTCCAAATTCTTTTCTTGTATTATAGAATATGTATTGTTAAGTTTAGAATTTTAATTTTTAAATATTAATAAAAGAAACTATTTTTTCAACAAAATATTTTCGTTTCTACCAAACAACACAAAATAATTTTCTTTGAAAATCATTTTTTTGAACACCACAAGGAAAACAATGTTTTCAATTGATTTAGAACTTTAACCCTATTTCTTTTTTTTACAGTAAAACCCAAAGATGTCGACGAAGGTCACCCTAAAACCCCTCGAGGCTGAGGATGAGGAGGAACCTGTAATGGCAGAAGAAGACAATTCAAGAAAAGAAGTGGATCTTGGGAATGGAAGCGGCGTGATTTACATACCCAGATTCTTATCCTGCCACCAATCCCGGGATTATTTGAAATACCTCAACGACCACATTCCTTGGACCCGACCCACCATTCGCGTATTCGGTCGGCCTTTTCTTCAGGTTTATGCGTTCCTTATGTTCTGATTCTGTGTATCATGTGTTAGGGTTCATGGGTTTCATTTGGAATCATGGGATTGTATGATATTATCTCACATACTTACATTTACAATGTTTGGATTCTCAGGAACTGGAATTAAGCTCTCTCTGTACCCCGTTTTTGTATTCAAATGAGCACTTTTTTTTCAATTCAAATTCTATTTTTCTTGTCTTCTAGCAATGAAATGGATACTGGCATTTAATTACAATAAATGAAGATTTGGATTCAGATTCCTGAATTTCTAATGAAATTCATCTGCTCAAACATTGCCTTACTGTGTTTAACACTTTGATCATAATTTGTTGTTGTGCCGATAAAGAGTGTATATGAGCAAAAGATTTATTTTTTCTTATTTTCCATCTTATTTAATGTTAGTGTAAAGTTGAACTAACAAGTGAATTCTAAAATAGAGCCAGATTTGATTATTTTTAATTGTTGTGTATTTTCTAAAGTTACAAAGTTTACCTTCTTGAAACGAGACTCTTTTTACGAGACATAGAGAGCATATTTTAGTTTGTACCTTATTGCAACACTGGGATGTGAAAAATAGTGTATGCTTTTTTCTTCTACTCGGTATTTAATTTATCTGTGGCTCTGCCCTGTGTTATCATATATTGTTTCCCCTATGTTTTAGGAGAATGAAGTTCTGCCCTCACAAAACTTTTATTCCTTAGCCTTGAAATAATGACTGTTTCTTTGCTGGTAGTTAGCTTCAGGGGTGACTCCTTGATGCTTTTTTTTACAATAAAAAACAGATGACATTCTCATTAATAAGACATTGTATGGAAATCTACATAAGCACTCATCTTACTTCCACTCCAAACTATATATTTGATCATTGGACACCCAAATGACGGAGATAAGCATTATCGTTGTGACAGATAAGGGGAAAAACTTCTTCTTTTTGGGAAATTTATAGCGTTGTGGTTTAAACTGTAGGGTCTGTTTATATGGAGTGTTTTGGAGGCATAGTCAAAATTTTGATTCTTAAGATGAACTAATGGTGCTTGAAATGTTATAGTTGAAGTACTTATGTTACCATCTATTGTAATGTGTTATGTGTTTATTTTTTATATTTTAAAATCTCAAATATTTGGCATCCAAAATCTTCCATCCAAAATGACCCTTAAATGATGTTTCCCAAGGAGAGTATGAGAAAAAGAATCCAACCCCTTGGTAGAAACGGTATCCTCGTCTTCATGGAATTTGACCAAATTATCCTCAAAATAAGTTTCTGGAAACATCTCTACATCACAGTAGGGGGAAAGGTTAGGTCTATGTGCATACACCCTACACATCACAGTATTTTATTGGGTCTGTTGTTGTATCCTTAATCAAAGTTATTACCAAACACAGGGATCACTTCCCTACCTTGTGAATTCCTAGAATTTTTTTCAACTTTCCAGGCTAACAAACAACCTCTTACGGCAGCCTAGGGAAACTTGCTATGTTGCAAGCAAAGGATTGCGAGAGTACGTTTACAGTGGATATCAACCACGTGCGTATTCTTGGGAAGAATTTCCTCCTCTCATGGACATCCTAGATGCAGTAAGATTGCTTTGGCCTCATACTGTAATATGTACACTTCAGGTGTGTGATGGATCATATGATCAAATCTTATCTTATTTAACATCTGATGTCATGTTATATACCCCTAGGTCCATAAAGCAATTCCCGGAACCTCTTTCAACAGCTTGCTTATGAATAGGTACAACGGAGGGAATGACTACGTTGGATGGCATGCCGATGATGAGGAAATTTATGGTCCCACTCCAGATATTGCATCTGTTTCCTTCGGATGTGAAAGGGACTTCTTTTTGAAAAAGAAACCAAGTAAAATTTTCCGAGGTAGAAGCTTTTATATCATACTCTCTGTACTTTTATGCGGAGCATCATTAATGAATGTGTCGTTGATCAAATGAATTGTGTGTACTTCATGCAAGAACATAATTCATAATTGATCGGGCACATTTATTGAAAAAAGTGAAATCATGTGCTAAAAATGTTAGTGAGTGGAAGTTTTTTTGGGTTAAAAATCTCTGATTGTGATTTTTAACGAAACATACCAGGTAAATATGGTGAAGATGAATCCCCGAGCAAGCGTTCCAAGAAGCCAGACGATCCAGAAAAGCACCGTTTTGCACTAAAAAATGGATCATTGCTGGTAATGAGAGGCAATACTCAACGGGATTGGCTCCACTCCGTGCCAAAGCGTGCAAAAGCTGTTGGAATGCGAATAAACCTCACTTTCAGGCACGTTCTTTGAATGTGAAAAATACCAAAATAGGACTTTCATGTTTTTTTTCCCAGAATAGGACTTTACAATGTGGTAATGTGACTTTGCATTGTGGTAATATGGCAGTGTACTATACTTTCTTGGTAATATATATGACCATGTTTGGTAATGTAAGTCCTATTTCGGGAATAAAAACATGGAAGTCCTATTTTGGTATATTTTCAATGTTTTAGTCCTACTTTGATCTTTCTCCCAATAAAAAACAAAACTTATGTGCTCTCTCCCTCCCCCAAAAAAAGACTTTTTATTTCTTTTTCGGGATGCCCAAAAAAAGTCCTCTTTCCTTTTTTGGAAAGTTTTGAGTGACTCACAATCTCTCTCTGTGCCCCACTTTCAACACCATATTTTCACTTTCTTTAAATTTTGTGTCAAGTCAAACCAAGAAAAAAATTGTAGTACAATTTTTGGAAAAAATAATAGCAGATTATTGAAAAATAATTCGAAGTGCTCAAGTGCCGCTAAAAAGAATTGTGATACAAAAAAATTTATAGTGAGTTAGAAAAACATTTATACGAAATTGTCGATTACTGAAAAGCAATTAATGCCACTTTGAAAAAAAATTTAAATTTTGTATTATTTATGGTATCTGATTTTCTAAAATGACACACAGAGCTTGTGAACCTTTATATTTTTTTATAAAGACAAATCTCTAAAATGAGTATATTGTTATAGTTTTTGGAACCTTAATTTCAAAATTTTAAATTTAAAAAAATAAAATTGGTAAAAATTTACCTCAATGATCTCAGCTTTCATTTATTTGCGCAAAACATGCATTTTCTCCGTTAGGTTACCGTTACCTTCTTAACGAAGACCCAAAACGCGCACCCATGCCGAAAGGTGGAATTATTACGTGTGACAATAAAACGTGAGGTTATTTTTGGAAGAACGCAAAAATGTGAGATTATTTCAGATAATTTTCTACATACTTTTTAAATGTAGATGCTAATTGAAGATGGTGCATCTTCTCTTATAATATTCAATGTTAGCGTACTTTGCACGTAAAAAAGCAGTGAAACTAATTTGCATAATTATTCTTCACTTTCATTAATGGCCGCAAATATTAGTAAGATAATTGTTCCATCTGTTAAAATATACGTTAATTTTGATTTTTGCAAGTCAAACTAATGAACTTTAATATGGAGTATCAATTACTGTACATAAAAACTACGGAGTACTTCTATTGTCCCAATTTAAATGACGTGTTTCAATTTACGAATTTTTATTGAATTTATTTTCAATAGAATTTATTTTAGAATCTGAGTCAAATTAAAAAAAATCTACATATTTGAAAACCTAATAAAAAATTCTACGAAACAATATGACAATTATTTGATTAAATGAATTGAGAAAATAGGAAAATAAAGTAAATAATATTTGACAATAAAAAGCATTAATCGAGAAGATGCACCATCACATTAAAAAGCATTCATTTTGGGACGGAATTACATCACATTATAATGCATTTATATGATTTTTCAAGTCTTCTAAACAAGATAAACTAATAAAATCATTTGTATCCTAATATACAGAGTATGATATAATTTTTATTTGATTAATAACTACTCCTTCCGTCTATTATTTATTTTTTTCATTTTTCCAAAATTGCTCGTCCATTAATTATCTTCTCATTTTTTTTTGGCAAATTCTTTTTCTTTAAATCATATTACTATACCCACTTTTACCCATTAATTACTAGAGCCCGGTTCCATGGCCACTGGATTCCAGTGGCCACGGAAGCCACCGCCTCCCAACGAAGCTCCGTTCATAAAATTGATGATTCCTACCTCCTAACCCCCCGGTCAACCCCCCCCCCCCCCCCCCCCCCCCCCCCCCC